TGCACAATACAAGGAAGCGGGAGGGGAGCTGGCAGCCCTTGGATGGTCTTTCTGGAGGAGCCAAGTTAGAAAGAAAGGGATCCAAGGAAAAGTGGGGAGCAGGTGGGGCCAAGGGGTGTGGTGAGAAAAGGCAGGGTGAGAGAAGCAGAAGTGGCTGGGGATCCTGAAAGAATCCACCGAGAAGAGAAATAACCCCAATTTCCCTATGACTGAGATTTCCCAGGGTCCTGAAGGCTTTGGGGAGGGGTGAGGTTGTAGGGCTGGGGACTGGGGATGGGGGCCTTCTTGGGGTCCCTTCACAGGGCATGGCCCCAGGCTAGCATCCTGGCAGCTAAGCTCACCTTCCAGAAGGCTCTGCAGGAAGAGTGGCGTCCCTGAGCTTCTCTCCCACAGGGCTCTGCTCCCAGCCTGTGATCTGGAGCACTGGGGCTTCATCCTCTGCCCACAGCAGAGGTGAAGGAGGGATTTGAGGCAAGGAGACACCCCATGCTCCTCAGGGACAGGCCCACCCCAGGTATGGGTGCTGCTGTGGACCTGCAGGTGTCTTGGGCACCAGTGACCAGCCCTGCAGACACCTGTGTGGTGCTTGTCCCTGTGTGGACAGGCAGCAATCAGGGTCTGAACACCCAGATTCACCCCAACTCCAGCCCTTGCCATCTGTATGACCCCAGCTAGATATATAGCCTCTCTGAATTCCAGCTGTAGTTCATAAACTAGAGATGATAATCTTGGTCCTGTCACTGCCAGCCTTGTAGAATTGTTTTTATTTTGTTTGGTAAGACAGGGTCTCACTATGTAGTTCAGGATGGCCTTGAACTCACTATATAGCCCAGTCTGGCCTTGAATTCACAGTGCTCCTCCTGCCTCAGCCTCCCACAGGTGTGCACCACCATGCCCAGCTAGGATTTTCATAAGGGACAAAATAGAAAGAGGTTGTCAGTCGATCTATAAACTGAGATACGTGGCTGAGGTGATAAGAAATTTCACACAAGGGCAAGTGTATGGCTGTGTACATGGGTGTGTGTCCAGGTCCTGTTGGTGTGTTGGTCAGGATGGCAGGTTGTGGTCCTGCCAGCAAGGGTGAGGGGTGGGCAGTGTAGGGCTGTGGGGCTGGCTTCAGAGGCCTTCGATCTGCTTCTGTCCTTGACTGGCTCTGTGAGCTTCAGCAGGTCCCTGCCATCTCTGGTCACAGGGTCGTGTCCTGCACACCAAGGCCCCTGCTCGATGTGTGGACCTCTGAGGGAGAGGCTCAGGGCTTGGGGGAGAAGAGGGAAGCTTCTGGAGAGTAAACAGTGCATTTAAGCTCTCAGGCAGGGAGCAGAGGAGCAGAAACAGTGTCAGTGGCAGAGCAGGGGAACAGGAGGAGGCCAGAGGCACTGGGGCCTGCTACATTCATCCGGTCAGTGTCCCACAGGAGACGCAGGGTGGGCAGCTGGGACGCCTAGACCTCAAGTGACATTCCGAGCCTTCTGCAGCTGGCTGCAGAGGGAGACAGAGGGGAGCAAGTCCACCCCAGCACCTCAGCACCCAGACCGCGGGACTCCCAGACCCACCTTTCTCCCCCAGGGTAGTAGTGGGCCTCCTGGCCTGCTGCCCATCTGGCCTCCTGCCTCTCCACCAGGTCCCCTGGCCTGGCCTTCACCCGCCTCCCTCCTTCCGTATGCCCCTCTCAATCTCTGCCCTCTCCTTGTGCCCCTGTTCCTGCGCCATCCTTACTGGGAACACTGGCAGGTCTTCTTCTCACTGAGGAGCCGCTTGATCTGAGACATCTGCTCTGCCCGGCGCTGCCCAAGGACAGGAGGGGACTTGTGAGGGTCCCGGGCCCCCAGAGGGAGGTCGGTCTGACTGCTCCTTCCGGCCTCTCCCTCTGCCGGGAGCAAGCCAATCTGCAGGGAGGGAGCCAGGGCCTGGGTGCTCCGGGCCAGAGAGGAGACGACCGGGGTCTGTGAGGCTCACTCACTTACCCGTTGGTGCCGGCACCGGACACAGCAAAAGATGCACAGCACCGTGAGGAGCACGCAGCCTGCAGTGCTGCCCACGACAATGGCCAGGAAAGTGGAGTGGTCCTGGTGCAGCCCCCTGGACACAACTGCAGGGCAGGGGGTGCTCAGTGCCGCTAGAGGGGCAGAGCGGGTCCCATCCCAGGGCCAGGGGAGATGGCAGGGTGGGCAGAGCTCTCCAACCCCCTGGAGATAGAGGCACAGGGCTGGGAAGGGCTGGGGGTTCAGGGCACCAGAGAGCCAGAGCCCAGCCTGCAGAACTCGGGGCCAAGGAGGGAACCTGTAGTCCAGGACTGCACCATGACTGGCCCTATGGTGTCTCCAGGCCCCGTGCACACAGTCCTCTCTGGACCGGGAGGCTGGGGCCATGGTCTCTGCCTCCCCCAGGAAGGTGCCATAGCTCAGGAGGCCAAGGCTCAGGGACGCCTCACAACCTGGATCCTCACCGTCAACCTCGGATTCCAGCAGGACCTTGTTCCTGTCTCTCAGGAAACACCGCCATGTCCCTGCCTCAGGAGCTGACACCTGAACCTGCTTCTTCTCTACCGCCTGGACCTGGGACTTCTGGTTGCTCCGCTCCCAACTCAGCTCCATTGTGGGGGAGGTGGGTCCCTGCACCTCGCAGACCAGAGAGTTCTGGAGCTGAGACACTGTGGAGGAAGCAGAAGCCAAGAGCCCAAGCTGCCCCCCAGGGCTCCTGGTCCAGTGTGAAGGCATCAGGGAACCATCACAACGATCCTGCACACCCTTTCAGCCCAAGGGGTCCAGCGGTCTTGGGTGCGAGTCCAGCCAGCTCTAGTTCTTGACTACCTGTGTGTTCCTGGGAGAATTACCTAACAACCAGGGCCAGGGACAATGATTCAGTGCACAAATTCATATACAATGTTGAAGAGGGGCAGCAGAAACTTAACCATTATTGCATGTGGAGTTGCTAGGATAGAGTAGATAATAATTCAAAGACCTCATGTTGTCTTGCTGTTACCCTCATTTCTAGCATACAAGGAACATCCTGTGGTCCTCCTTACAAGAAAGATGAGAAAATGGGCCCGCAGTGGGTAGGGGCTTAGCCAGGTTCACAGAGGGCCCCCCAAAGGCAGCACTGACCCCTGCTCCTTCGCTTTGGGGAGTTCTGGTTCTGTGACTGGTCCCAGCAACAAAACACAAACACTTGGTTATTCCAGCCGGACACCCAGGCCAGGCATCCTCTGTGGGGACCTGCTGGCCTCAGAGGTCACCTGCACCAGTGCCCCCCTGGCCCCAGCCGTCACCTCTCATCACCACCAGGTGCACTTCCTGGCACAGCTTCAGGCCTCCAGCCAAGGTCAGAGTGAGGTTTCCGGAGCCAGCGTGCTGGAGGAGGGCTTTGGACAGGGTGAGGCACAGCGGGGTCTTCTCTGCCACCTGGAGCTTGGGGTCCTGGGCGGCTGCTTGTACCGTCACCTTCCTGTTCTCCACAGAGAAGGAGACCCAGACCTGAGAGGAGAGAGCCCTGTCCGCCCTCCAGCTCAGCTCCCCTACGAGGGCTTCGTCTTCGAAGGTCAGTGGGAAGGAGAGCTCCAGCGCCTCCCCCTCCTTCCTGTAAGCTGTGCTGGACGACTTCAGAAAATCTGGAGGTGGGAGGGAGGGCAGAGAGTGCAGGGATGCGGGTGAGGTTGCAGGGGCGGGCAGTGTGGCCAGAGCAGCACAGAGAGGGGACCAGGCAAGCCCACGGTAGAATTGTCATCACAGAGCCCTGCTGCAGTTCCCCCCTCTGCAGCCCTCAGCACATTCCCACTCCCAGGTAGCTCCCACCTCCTCCGGGGAGCCCTCAGGGAGCAGCCCAGTCCCAGGGCCTGGGCTGTCTCTCCTCCTCCAACCTCCTCCTCCTCCGAAGCACAGAAGCCATTTGGCCTACAGTCTGGCTGCATAGCCCAGGTTGGCCCTGAACTCGGCAATTCTCCCACCTCAGCCTCTCAAATGCTGAGATTACAAGTGTGCACCACCATGCCTGGCTAGAGCCAGCACTTACACGGGGCCACCGTGTGCCAGGCCCTGTCCAGGGTGACTGACTGTCACCGTGATGCCACAAGTAGGTGCTGTCAGATGCAGAAAGCAAGGACACGTGGTTGGGGTAGAGTCAGGATTTAAATCAGAACCCAGGCCCTGCCCAGCACTGCTCTGTGTCACCCCTGGACATGCATCCTGGCTCCCCGGCTCCCCACAGTGCCTAACCCAGTGCTGCAAGTGGGTTTGCCAACTTGGTGAGGCTGGGGAGCCAAGGCAACAAGGACAGGAGCCCCGAGGAGAGGCCCTGACACCAGCTCCCAGGGGAGAGAGCCCAGCCCTCAGTCCTAGGGGTTTCTGGGACAGGCCTGCCCCCAGCCCACAGCCCTGGAGCAGGCAGGATGCTCAGAATGAGGTCCCTCTTACCCAGCACCATGACATGGATATCCCACTGGAGCTGCTTCTGGGCCTGGGAGACAGTGCATTTCCAAGTGCCGCTGTGCTGCAGCCCCACCATGGGCACGGAGATGGCCTTTTTCCCACTGGTAACTTGGCCACTGGGGCCCGTGAACTGCACCGAGGGGCTGCTGCCCTCCGGGCCCTCCAAGGCCAGGGTCAGAGTCTGCCCCTGCAGCAGCCGAGTGCCCGAGCTGGGGCTTACTGTGGAGGGAGCAGGTCACTGTCACATCGCACCCCCAGGAGCTTGGTGCCCCCAGCTCCAGCCCTGGCTTTGCTGGCCCCACTCACATCTGAACACCAGCAGATCCACCACCATCTTCTTTGTAGCCACATCACAGATGTAGGTCCCTGAGTCTCTCACCTCCAGCTTCCGGATGATCAGTGGAAAAGACCCCTGGTCCCACTGGCTACTTCTGGAGTCAATGCGGTCACTCAGATGGGTTTTCCCTGCGAGTACAAGTTGTCAGGAGGAGGCTGAGGTCCCTGCTGGGAGACATGGCACCCTGGCACATGTAAATAACTTATAGTTACATCCTCCCACCTCAGCCTCCCAAGTGCTAGGATTACAGGCATGCATGCCCTGTTTGATAATTTGTAATATCTATCAGAACCCCAAATGCACATGCGAAGTTATGCCTATTAGGAGAATAAAGGGATAGGTTAAATAACTTATAGTTTACCCACAGCTCTTCTAATCTGAGTGGCTGATTTCCTGCAGAAACTGCTCTTGTCTTCATCAGAAACCCCCAGACCAGAGTGGAGGTCCCATCGGATGCCATTGCCTAGCGGGGAAAATGTCTCACTGCTCAAAAGACTGTAAAGCAATGTGCAGATCTGGAGAGCACCAGTGCCTACAGCCATGTGCTCCACACCCAGGCTGCCCAGAAGTCACATGATTCTGAGAACAGGCCCTGTTTTGCTTATGGTGCGGGTAAAGACCTTGAGCCTCAGGGATGAAGCAGCTGCCTGAACCCTTACACACTGAGGTAAGAGCAGAAACTGGTGCAATTGCTATGGATGGTACTTTTTTTTTTTTCCTCAGATAGGGTCTCACTATGTAGCCCAGACTGGCCCTGGAACTTGTGGTGATCCTCCCACCTCAGCCTCCCAAGTGCTAGGATTACAGGCATGCATGCCCTGTTTGATAATTTGTAATATCTATCAGAACCCCAAATGCACATGCGAAGTTATGCCTATTAGGAGAATAAAGGGATAGGTTAAATAACTTATAGTTTACCCATTCAGTGGGTGAGAAGAGTGAGGAACTTCTTGCATATGGAACTCTTAATATGGAGCAATATCTAAGAAACATAATTAATTGAATAAGTAAGGTAGTAAACAGGCTATTACTTATTTAAAAAGGGAAGGCAGGGCATGCCCAGCCCTGGGTTCCATCCCCAGTGCTCCAAAAGAAGCCTGGCCAGGGCCAGGGATGTGGCTCAGTGGTGCCACCACCTGCCTCGCAAGTTCAAGGTCCAGAGTTGAATCCCTGGTTCCCCTCCCCAACCAAAAGAAGCCGGGGCAAAGACCAGGAGGGAAGGGGAACAGCTGGGACAGACAGGGAGGGGAGGGGCTCCAGGGAAGCGAACAGTGGGGGATGTTAGACTGAGTTTAGTCAATAGGCTGGGGAGTGACACACCCATAGCTTTGCTTTGGAAGCCAACACTGCAGCAGAAGGAAGAGAACCTGAAGCGAGAGAACAGCCAGGGCACCAGGGTGCCTAGAGTAACACAAGTGAAAGGTACTTCTTGCAGGGCATGGTGGTGCTATTGTCCCAGCACTTGGGAGGCAGAGGCAGGAAGATCTCAGCAAGTTCGAGTCAAGGCAGCCTGGGTTATAGAGTGAGACCTTGACTCAAAAATCAAAACAAAAAGATCCTTGACCTTTTTCTTTTTTAATGGTGGTGCTTGGGATTGAACCCAGGGCCTCACCCCTGCTAAGCAAGTGCTGTATCACTGAACTAAATCCCCAGCCTTTTATGTGTTTGGCTTTTTTGAGACAGGATCTGGATATGTCTCTAAATTTCCCAAGGTGGCTTGAATTTGCAAACCTCTTGCCTCAGCCTCGCAGAGTTCTGGATTATAGGTGTGCACCACAACCATTTTCTTTTTCTTGTTTTGTTTTGTGACAGGTTTCACTATCTAGCCCAGGCTGGCCTTGAACTTGAGACATCTTCCTGCCTCAGCCTCCTGAGTGCGGGGATTACAGGTGTGCGCCATCATGCCTGAAACGTGCCATCCTCCAGCCTCAGCCTCCCAAGTGCTGCTGAGGTTGCAGGTGTGTTCTTTTCCTTCTTCACAGATAGGATCTCATTACATCGCCCAGGCTGGCTTCTTATTCCTGAGCTCAAGGAACTCTTGCTCCGCCCCAGAGGAGCTGGAGGCACAGGTGCAGCCCGAACCCTGCCAGTCACATGCTCCTTGATGTGGGTTCTCCGAGTGTCTTCTGTGTGACATTGACTTGGCTTCTTGGCTCTTGAATCTAGGTTACATCTTTTGCCAAATTCGAGGAGTTTTCAGCAATTCAATTACTCTTTTCCTTTTCTTCTCCTTGAACTTGAGAGGCACAAACATCTGATTGTTATAGTCGGCTGGTCCCCATGGCTTTGTCAGCCTCCTTCCAGCCTGTTTCCTTTCTGTGTCGGTCTCTGTCATTTTCTCTCTTGCAGCTCACTGAGTCTTTCCTCTCCACTTCCCTGTTGAACCTACTCAATGAGCTTTGTCTTTTTTGTTGTCTTTTATGTTTGAGACAGGGTCTCACTATGTAGCCAAGACTGGCCTCAAACTCACAGGTGATCCTCCTGCTTCAGCCTCCTGAGTACTAGCATTTCAGGAGTGCACCACCACACCTAGCTGAGCTTTGTATTTTGATTACTGAATTTTTTTTAGTTCTTTTTTTGTTTTGTTTTGTTTTGTTGGTACCGGGAATCGAACTCGGGTCCTAGCACTTGCGAGGCAGACATCAGAGCCACTGAACTAAATCCCCAGCCCTATTTTTTTTTTTTTTAGTTCTTAAATTTCCATTTTTTTTCTAATATCCTCTTCTTCACCAAGGTTTTCATGTTTTTGTTAGTTGTTTTGAGTATGCATATTATTGCTTGTTGAAGGGTTTTCTATCTATTGAATTTTTTTTCATTCACTTTGAGTTCTTCCTGATTCTTGGTAGTACGTGTGATTTTTGGTAGACACTTGGACATGAGTATTGTGTTATGAGATTCTGGATTGTATTTAACCACTTGTTATAATTGGCTTTTTTTTTCCCCCCCTTTAGTACTGGGGATTGAACTCAGGACCTTGTGCTTGCAAGGCAGGCAGCGGAATCACTGTGCTAAATCCCTAGCTGTTTTAATTGGCTTTTAATGTCACACTGGTTTGTCAAGAGCAGGTGGGGGCCACCTCTGTGCGTCAGCTGAAGGTAGATGTCTGGTTCTTCCTCATCTTCCTTCCATCGCCATCCTGAGGAGAGGCCCCTCATGACTGTGGGACTGGGTGGGAATGGAATTCCAGCTCCCACATGATCTGTATGCAGCCCTGCTCTGGGGACAGCCTTCTCAGTGCAGGGTGACTGAAGACCCCTGACTGTCACCTCTGCAGGAAGTGGCTCTTTACTGCTGCGTGGGGGTGAGAGTCCAGGCCCTTATGGTCTTACATGCAGAGTGGGGGGCTTTGCTGCCCATCGGTGGGGTACACATCCACGCTGGGGCCTCCTGTGGCAGTCCCAGGAGGGTGCAGGCTGGGACACAGCTGTCCTGCTGGTGTCTGCCTGAGGGGAACTGTCACTATCTGGAAGGGTTTTGCCTTCCCTAGCCTTTGCTATAAGAGAGCTGCTTTTGTGGAGGCCTATTTTTGTCTGTGCCCATTGCTGTTTCCAATCTACATGGAAATGAGGAACAGGCTATTCGATACAGATTCTTAGTATAAAGCGGCAAAGACCTTGGCTGACTTATGTTCACATTCTAGTATTTTGTGGGAGTAGACTTTGCAAGTAATGAAACTGGGTATTTAGCTGAGGGGATTTCCAAACAAAGAAACAAATAAATAATATAAAAAACAAAACCAGAACCCAAAGATTCTGGAAAATGCTCAACCTAATCATATCTTCAAAGTGCAGGCATGTGTTCAGAAGAGAGCACCAAAGACTGGCTGGATGACCATCCAGCAGAGCATGGGGTCATAGGAGCAGGAGCACAGTGGCCCTTTGCACTGATGTAGTGGGGGTGAGGGAAGGGATGCCCGGAGTCCTTGGATCTGACAGCACCAACAGCCGCGCTGTCAGATGTGCATGAGAGGATTGCTCCAGGAGAGGGAAGCATTACCCCAGCGATGGTTCCAGAGCCCCAGAGCCACTTTCCCAGTTTCAGCAGACCAGATGGCCTTTGTGTGAAGCCTCGGGGACAGGATGCCAGTCCAGCAGAGCCCCAGGGACAGAGCCCTGCCCACAGTGGCTGTGCTGCCATTCCAGTGGGCCCAGCAGGCAGGGCAGCAAGCCAACGAGGATGGCGTTTCATCTAGGGCCCAGTGGTCTCTGATTTGCTAGGGTTGCTTGTCCCCTCTTCCCCCTTTTTGATTTCTCCCTTTTGAAATAGAAAAGTCCACCCTGCTCCTGTCCAACACTACATTTTGGAAGCACCTAACTTGTCTAGTTTCACAGGTTCACAGCTGGAGAGAAATTCTGCCTCAGGATGCATTATACCTTGATGAGTTATGTTGTCCAGATCTGATTTGGATGCTGCTAGGATGTCAGGGTTCGGAGTTGGTGCTGGGATGGGTTGAGCTTTGGGGTTGCTGGGATGGGATGAATGCAGCTTGTATATGATACTTTGTGGACCTCACCACACCCCTCCCATTCATATAAGGAAACCTCAGATCATCACCAGTAACACCAGAGGCTCTGATGGAGTGGTTTCCCAAACTTCCACCATATGTGGTTTTAGCCAAATCTGCCTGCTCCCTATATCCTTAAATGAGTTCACTTTTTAAAAATTAAATAAGGGGCTGGGGATTTAGCTCAGTGGTTCTGCCACCTGCTTTGCAAGTGCAAGGACCTGAGTTCGATCCCCAGTACCAAAAAAATAAAATGAAATTGTATTTTAAAAAATTAAAATTAAATAAGTTTTTTTGTGTTTTGTTTTTTGGTACCAGGAATCAAACTCAGGATCTTGCACTTGCCAGGCAGGTGCAGCACCATTGAGCTATATTCCCTGCCCCCAAATAAGTTTATTTTTAAAAGCCATTTTATGAGCTAGGCGTGGTGACACATGCCTATAATCCTAGCACTAGGGAGGCTGAGGCAGCAAGATCACTGTGAGCTTGAGGCCAGCACTACAGATTGAGACCCTGTCTCAAAAAACCAAAATAAAATTTAAAAAAGCATTCTATTGCTTTTAATGGAAGTAAACAAAGTATCATTCTACATGGGGCTGTCTGTGGCAATAATATTCTTATGACGTGTTTTATGGGATAGTTATTTTTCTGCTGCCCATTCAAATAAGGTCACAAATATAAAGATATTGTAATTAATATCAAAGGTATTTTCCAGCAGTGCTTGGCATGCAGAAATTCCAGACAAAAGTGCCTCTGAGTTCCATCCTCCCAGTCCCACGGTCCCACATTTCTGGAGAGGATCCTTGAAGCAGGAGCATTCAATCCACAGATGGGGAAGGGGGTTCCTACCTCGAGTCAGGTAGGTTCTTTGCTTTCCCAGAATCTTGGTCTCGTTGGGAAATTTCCAGCTGAAATCCATCTTCTGCTTCTCCGACACTGTGCAGGGCAGCTCCACTGTGCCTCCTTCTTTGCCCAACCTCACTTCCTTTCCCTGAGTGACCACTGTGCAGAGGCCAGGTGGGAGAGGAGAGTCAGTTCCCCTACCTCCCCACTTCTAGGCACCCCACTTCCCACGGCCCACTCCCTGAACTTACCCACAGGCAGCAGCAGGAGAAGGAGCCTGGAAAAGAGTTCTGCCTTCATGGTGGCCTTGCTGAGGCAGGCGAGGGCCTGACCCTGGAGGAAGGGCAGGGACCAAGGGGAGTAATGATCAGTAGCAGCATGGCCTGTGGCTCTCACAGGGCCCTTACAGTTGACTGGCATGCACTAAGCAGAACCCTGCAAGTGTGACACCACAGACTGTGTGTCAAATACGGATTAAAGTAGCAGGGCATTTATAGAAAGAGCTGCAGCCAGCCCGGTGTGGTGGTGCACACCTGTAATTGCAGCACTCTGGGAGGCTGAGGCAGGAGACTCACAACTTCCAGCCCAGCCCAGGTGATTTAGAGTCTTCACAAGATTTTATCTCAAAACGAGAAAAAGAGCTGAGGATGTAGCTCAGTATGAAGGCCCTGGGTTCAATCCCCAGTACTATCAGTGAGGGCAACAGAGTTTAGTTGTAGTCTTTTAATAATAGCATAACACATGCCCTGGGGTACTTGGGGAGAAAGTAACATAACTACTTTCACTCTCTTTCTTTTTAAAATTGAATTTATTAGTACATTTTAGGTGTACTATATGATGACATTCATCATTGGGAATTTGTACCTTTACATGATGTGTCTTGGTTCTTATTTTTTGGCTATTTCCCTACCCTGCCTTCAACCCCTCCAGCCCTCACTATTCAAAATGCAAACAAAGTCTCTCACTTTCGCTTTCATCTCTTTGCTTAAGAAATATCCAGTTCTGGGCCAGGGGTTTAGCTCAGTGGTACTGTGCCTGCCTTGTAAGCCCAAGGTCCTGAATTCGATCCCTTGTAACAAACAAACAAATACACAAAAATATTCAGTTATAGTGTGTTTTCTTATTTTGTTGATTATTTGAGGCTTTTGATAAGTAGTTCATGAAAGAAGCTGTTTGATTCAACATAGAGAAAATATCTTTTTACTTTGGATTTCTGCTGTGCTTCGATTTTAAAAGCTTAAGCATGGATTACCAATTCTGCTCCATATAAATAACACAAACATATATTTACAGTATTATCAGTTATTGTGTCAGTCCAGGCTTGGAAGCTTGTCATAAATCAGTTCCAGATAATTTTATCTCACCTGTAAAAACTATCACTTTTAGGAGCAAAGATATAGCTCAGTGGTACCATGCCTGCCTGGCAAACACAAGGTACTGAGTTCAGTCCCCAGTACAAAAAAAAAAAAAAAAAACTATTACTTTTAAACCATGTATGATGGTGCATGCCCATAAACCCAGAACTCAGAAGGCTAAGACAGAAGGATTGTCACGAGTTCAAGGCCAGCCTGGGACACATAGCAAGACCCTGTCTCAAAACACCAAAGCAAAACAAAACAAATAAATACCTATCAGTTTTATTGACAATGTGGGTTTTTGAGGGGGAGGGGTACCGGGGATTGAACTTGGGCCCTTGCTCTTTCGAGGCAGGTGGTAGAACCACTGAGCCAAACCCCCAGCCCAGACAATGTAGTTTTGAGGGTTTTTTTTTTTCCAGGACACAGGGCTTCCCCCAATGCAGGCAAGCACTGAATCACTGGACTGCACTACAGCCCTGACATCGTAATTTTCAAATGTGCTGTGTATCTAACCCCTCACACTGCAGCTGTCTTGTTCTTATTTTTATTTTGCTGTGTCTCTTGCTTGCTTGCCAGACACAGGACCCATGGACAATGGGAAGGGCAGACATCCTTGGACTTTAAAACACAGAATAAATGGAAACACACTACACCCTGAGGCGGAGAAGAGTCTGCATTGTGGTCGTTTATTCACACACACACACACACACACACACACACACACACACACACCCCGTACTGGGGATTGAACTCAGGACCTTTCACTTGTGAGGCAGGCGTGGCATCAGTGAACTACATCCCAAGCCCTTATTCATTCATTTCTTTATTTTTTGCAGTGCTGGGGATCAAGGCCAGGGCCTTATGCACTCCACCACTATGTAGCTATGTATCAAACTCTTGTGTTGCTTTTTTTTTGCTTTTTGAGACAGACTCTCACTATGTAGTTGAGACTGACCTGGAATTCACTATGCAGCCCAGGCTGGTCTCGAACTCACAGTGATCTTCCTGCCTCAGCCTCCCGAGTGCTGGAATTACAGGTGTGCACCACCATGCCAGGCACCTTGTGTTGCTTTTTAATATTTTGAAAGTTAAAATAACTTTAAAACACTGTGCCCACCCAGGACTGTGTCCTTGAACAGGCAGGATCAGAAAGGGATTCGTAGAGAAGGTGCAAAGTGGGGAGGACAGAGATCACGGAGCTAGCCCTCCAAAGTCACGCTCAGATTCTGGGCAGCAGGGAGCGGGAGAGGGTTCCACCTAGAGAGGAAAATTCAGTTTGCAGCATGGATCTCTGCAGCTGCTGTGGTAGGTGAGCAGGAGGAGGAAGACCGGAGGCAGAGCTGGGAGGCAATAGGTTGGGGAGAGAGGAGAGGCCTGGCCTGGGTAGTGGCTGGGGCTCTTGGCCGCTGAGAGCATTCTGAGGTGAAAGCCTCAGGCCTAAGGCTGATCTGTGAGGGCTGAGGGGAAAAGCAAGGCCCTCTCCTGCCCATACCAGACCATCCTCCAAGGCCGCAGTTCGGTGGGATGATGGTAGCAGGCTGTTCAGGTAAAGGACAAGCCTGTGGTCTGGAAGTTGGCTAAGGCTGGGGGCAGAGAGGCCTTTGGAGAGGCTCCATGGGTGGCAAGGAAAAGGTAGCAGCACTGCGGAGGAGTGAGTCCAAGAAGAATCAGCACCCTTGGCACTGCCAGGGAATTTGTTAGAAATGCAGATTCTCAGGCCTGCCCCGACCTGCAGGGACAGGGCCATAGGTGACCTACATTGCTCAAGTCTGAAAACCAAGATCTAGAGTGGAAGGGAGGGGGAAGGGAGGGGGAGGGGAATGGCCTCCCAGCCTGGTGTGCAGAGGTGTGGGAGGTTGGCAGAGGGCTGGGTGTGAGGAGAGGGCAGCACAGTGGGAATGGCAGGATCAAGTCGGGCTGTAGCTCTTCACAGGCAGGCTCAGCACTGGGTTCAGTTCTGAGGCTCAGAGCTGCTGCTGATTGCTCCTCCTCCCCGTGGAGCTGAAAGGCTGTGGTGCACACATGGTGAGCTCTCCTCACGAAGCCGCAAAGCCCCGCGTGGGGAATGCTGCACAGCCTATTTCTCCAAGCAGTTTTAGGGTCCTCAACCCAGTAGAGAGGAAGTGGAGTGGAAGGAGCAGAGACTAGTGCAGGGCCATCTACAGCACCTGAAAAGCAGGCAGGAGCAGGCCTGAGTGTCCCTAAGTCCAGGCCCAGGCCATAAGCGGGCCTCAGAGAGGTCAGTATTGGGAACATGGCTGTGAGTGTGGCCCCTCTCCCAAGCCCAGACTCTCCCCTGGAGTCACCTGAGCTCTCTGAGCTCCCCCAGCTTCCCTTTGACCTCTCTTGGATGTAGGTCCCCTCCAGCTTGAACTCCATGAGGACAGGGGTGACAGTCTAGCCAGCTGTGCAGCCATCACTGGCCTGGCACCAGTGGACGCATAGACAAGGGACTCAGGATGTGTTCATTTATCTTTTACCAAGTCGAATTGAATGGAGGAAGAGAAATCACTGATCCCTCACTGTATTCAACGTGCTACTTCTGAGTGCAAAATGGGCCATGTACAGCTGGGGACATAGCTCAGCGGTACAGTGCTCACCTAACAAAAACAAGGCCCTGGGGTCTAAGCTTCAGTGCCTCGAAAAAGAATGAAAAACTAATAAGTAAATAGAGTTGGGTGAGTGTGTGTGCACACCCAGTGGGTCCTGGGCAGACCCAAGTCACCCCACTTATGCTACTTATTCTCCATATCCTCTGCCCTCCTTTCCACTGAGCAGCTGCCACCACCACCCCAACCCAGCTTGGGCTGGCTGATGGAAAGTTCTAGAAAGAGGCGAAGTGGGAGGATCCAAGAGTCTGGGCCGTTGATTTTTCCCTGCCCTGGGGGTATTTTCTGGTAAGAGCTGTCCTGTTCCTCTCCACTACAATGCTGGCCAGATGGCCCTTTATCCACAACTCAATCCCTCCCTGGGTTCCTGAAAGCCCGTTCCTGCTCTTGCACACTCCCTGCTGTGACTAGGGTCTGTGTGCCCCAGCGTGCTGGCTGGTCTCTTCTGGGCACACTTCGGTAAATAACCCCCTTTCTACAATCTCCGAGACCCTCTGAGGGGGAGTCGGGTGCCGGAGGTTTGCTCTCCTGTGAGGTGGGGAGACACCCAGAGCTTCCATCCCACTCCTCCATCTGCCTGGAAGAGGAATCACCCAGGGCCTAATGCCGAGTCCACGCTTGTGTCAGAGACAGACAAATACAGATATACAGAGGGGTGATAGATTGCGTCTACACCAGGGACTAGACAAAGAAGCTTCAGGAAGGAGGCTGTAGGTAGCCTTCTGTCTCCTTCCTCCCCGTCCCCGCGACCCCGCCCAGGCTTCTGCTCAGTACAGGAGGCTGTGGCTTTGCTTTGGTGCTTTGGCTTCCGCTGCCACCCCAGAGATCTGGCCTTTGATTTCCACATCCTCAGCGTCCCCAGAGGCCCGCAACCTCTGTACAGTAGCATCCTGTGCAGGTCGCCCGGGAGAGGCCGCTGGTCTGTGTTCTCGGGAAGCTGCCTCGCTCGCTGGCTCTCCCCGCCCTCTCTCTCTTCCTTTGCTTACTTCTCTGCTCCTATCTGTGCATTTCTGAATCTGCACCTCCCCGAGTGCCTGACTTCAGCCTCCATCTCCCTGCTCCAAGTGCCCCTGCCTGGTCGTCCTTCCCCTTCAACTGCTGCCCCCTCGATCGCCTCAGCGGCCCCGGCTGAGCTCCCACCTGGCAGGGCTGCAGAGCAAGCGCGGCCTGCCAGGAGGAGCAGAGGGGCGATGGCTGCAACGTGGGAGGGACGCAGCAGACAAAGGGAGTCGGCAGATTTCCCCGGAATACGCAGAGGCCTCGCGGGAGGACGGAAGGGAAGCAGGGAGGGACCGAGGGCTATGGTCCCTAGACGGAGGGAGCGGAAGCGGGGAGGCAGGCGAAGCAGACATGCTGGAGGAAGGTGGCCGAGAGAAAGGACAGGGCCAGAGAGGCAGCCGCTGCTGCACAGCCCTCACCCGGCCCGGGATGGGATAAAGTGAAAAAGGAAGAGGGCACAGCCCCACCACAGCAGCAGTCTGTGGTCCCACAGGCACTTTAATCTTCACCCCACAGCCCCCTGGAGCCAGCCGCGGGATGTGCCACCCCACATGTGCACTCTGCCCACTGCCGCCTGGCTTCGTGTAAACTTCCTAGAGACCCGGACCCCACAGGGGACTCTTGTGGTTTGGTGGCTGCAACCTCCGCCATCCTCTCCTTTGCCCCAGACGCCCACACAGGGGGCGCTGTGCCCGCCCCTCACCCCCAGAGTCCCACTCTGAGCTCAGCCTTCAGCCTGGCAAACCCAGACCCCCCTGGCATCTCCCCACCCAGCCCCAGGTGTCTGTCCCCAAATCACCCACTCCACACACTTCCTGAACTCTAAAATGTGGAGCCTCCTCTCCACTGTGGCCACTGGCAGGGCCTGGGACTGCTTGGAGCCTGGGTTCTGCCTGACACCAGGTGGTGTGGGAGGGCAGGCCTCTTCTGTGTGAGTGTCCCCAGCCTGAGAGAGGGAGGCCACCTCCTGAGCCTCTGTCCTCTGCCACTGTTTCAGGACGGCCATTTTGTGTTTGCCCCCAAGGTCTGACACAGCACAAGAAACTGTTTATCAAAACATGAGCTGGCAGTGGTCTCCCCACATCGGGTTCATCAGGTTCTCCTCCCAGCCTTGCACTCCTAAAAAGGTGTCCGTCCTACAAGACAGCACGATGCTCACAAAGAACTATCCCATGTAGAGTGGAATCTTTGGTCCAGTGGAGCCTTTCTGCTTTTAGGGATCAGACAGTACCCTAGGAGAATTTTCCCTCAGAACAAGTCTAGGAGGGAAAGGCAGAGGGCAGGGGAGGGGAGGCAGAATGGCTTCAAGGCCTCTGGAGAGGGGAAAGGCTGACTTGTGCAGGCTGGAGTCATAGAGGGTGTTACATCTGGGGAGTCCTGTGTCTCCCCAACACCTCAGCAAGTCCCGGGTGCTGGGAGTCTGCAGACCCTTCCCTACCTCTCCCAGCCTCCAAGACACTAATGCCCACTCTCTCAGAGTCATTTGTTAATGTCATACTTACCTAAAGTAT